ATTATCCAATAATATTTTTCCCATGTGATGAGATGATCTACAAAAATCAGCCAATTACAATGAAAGCCCGCTATGCTCACCCGATATTCATTGATTCTTATTACCCTAAATCAAGACCATTTTACTTAACCCGATTTAGGGTTTGGAATGAAATGATCGGCATTTTTAATTAATAAAAATGAAATTAAATACGATATCGAAATTATATTTTGTATAATTTTATTGTAAGGGTTTAATTTTACTTGCTTTAATTTCAATAGTAGTTAAATAAAAAATTTGTGATGATTATGGATATAAGTCACGGTGTTTGCTTTACCAGCAGAATTCTCTATTTTCGAGTTACACGTAATAGTAAAATGAAAAGTATTCTTGTAACTGATTGGATATCAGCGTATCACGTGTTTATAATTACCTTAATTCTTATTCGTAATCTTATTGGCTAGTAATATAGGTTATAGTGAAATAATCTCTTCCAGTAAAAACTTCACTGGAACCACTAGAAATATCTGGACGTCTAGTGAGGTTCCAGCTTCCAGTCAACAACACTGATATATATCATGTGCCATTTTTTTTAAAGTTGTCTTTTTGATATTTGTTATATTTAATTCAGGTTAAAATCCATAATTTGCAGACCCTGCAGATCTGATCGAGTAATATTCAATTCAGGGGACACTTGAAGAACAAGGAACCCAGTGATCATCACATCATGTGAAATTATGCAATTACATTATTTGTTTACTTGCACTAAACAAATTAGCCTAAATTAACCTATTACTTAACCTAACACTAACTCATAGACAGAAGTTCGTCTGATTGGCTAATAAATTCAATTTAATTTTACATTATTTATACAGTTTAAAGTACTTTTTAGAAGAAATAAAGCTACGAAGAATAAACAAAAAAGAAACATATAAAAAGTTATATTACGGTTGTAGGACTCCACTATTAAAAATAAAACTCAATCAATTTTGGTTTAGAGAAGTTAGCATAATAGCAACTTTTTAAAGATTCAAAATTGATTGTCTATTTTTAATGGTGGAGCCCTACAACCCTAAAACTTTTTATATATTTCTTTTTTGGGGAGGCTTGAACAAGGAACTAGGTGATATACTAGTGTCATCACATAACGTGAAATTATGAAATAACGTCATTTGTCTAACGTCTTAGGCCGAATGATTATTATGTGATATGATGATCACAAATATATCACTTAGTTCCTTGATCTTCAAGCTTCCCAAATATTGCTATTCAAAAACATCGAGCCAATAGTGCCAGATATCGAACTTCATTGAAAAGCATATATTAATAGGATTGTGCGTGGGTTAAGAAGATTCAGGTGCGAATCTTGCTTCTTGTGGACTGTAGCGCGTTTATTTCTTATCGTTTCTGAAATGAGGTTATGACTAGTACGTAATTAAATCAAGTTCTAAATTAAGCAGTTATTTAAATATACTTACCGTATAAGCGCAAATAACGCTCATGGGTGTTATTTCGAAAATCGTGTGCTTCAAAAAAAAACATATGGTCTTGAATTAGCGCTCATGAGCGTCCCGAATTAACCCGCATCCTAATGTAGCACACAATTTATTGTTGCGCCATCTATAAGCGCACTTTACCTATAATGATAAGTGCACATAATTTGATCGGCCTAATGTAATTATTTAATATTATATCTCAATAAATGAATACTCTATAGTGTATTTTTACCAAACGCGAATTTACTGAAAGGCTGGCTGTATTGAATTTAGAAATGTTCTCTTATTCGAAATTACGCACATGGATATCAGAATTATGAGGTCGGAGAGATGGTATTTCGGGAACGTAGGTTTCAGGAAAAGTGTGAATCAACGATGTTACGGTCTTGGTCCGGTCTTGGTCCTAAAGACCGCCCTAGCAGAAGACCGCGGACTGGACCATGGTCAGGAACGGTCCATAAACCGGCCTGTTAGCTGGTTTTTAATGATCGTTACATATAAAAAGGCCTACAGCTATCATCATAAATCCTGTGACAATTGAAAAAATTGGTAATGACCGAACTCATGGATTCGGTCATCGGCAAAATTTTTTTTTTAGCCAATGGGGTTAGATCGGTCCTCAGTTTAAGACCGAAAACTGGTTGGACTGGTCCAAAAAACTGGTACGGACCATGTCCTTGCAGTACTAGTACCGTAACATCTCCAGTTAGCGGGTTTCGAGACATTTCGTTGTCAGGGGCAACCTTAACATCGTGGTAACAGATCTTGAATGAATGTTCTTTCATACTAAAAAAAATTGCAACTCATGATTATCACCTAATCTACAGTATAACATAACACGCACTATTGCTAAAATTTCAAAATGTCGCAATTGGGTGTTTTTTTTCTAGGAAATAAAAAATTATAAAAGGGCCAAGATATCGAGCGATATAGTTTTCTTTAGCTTATTTTTTAACTTGTAAATTATAAATTCCTTTTTTCTTTCAATTAATCCTTGAGTAAAACAAGTAACATAAAAGTAATATTACAGTAATAAAATTAATAATAATTAATAATAATTAACAAGAGAAAAATAAAAATAAAAAAATGTCACAAAATCAATCCGATCAATCCGCCCCACATACTGAATTAGACCTTGAAACTCAACCGACGTTAATAGAAGACACAAATAAAAGCATAATATCTACAAAAAATGATGGCTTATTACATGGAGTTGCATTATTTTTGGTTTCTTTTGGGTTCGTAGTTATTAATTCCTTACAGTTTTCCTAATTCTCAGGATCTATCGGTCAGCTATATTAATATAGTTTTTTTTTTTTATCTATAATAGTTTAGCTTGCGCTGTATTTTTAGCCGCATTAGATCAAACAATCGTTGCTACCGCTTTACCTAGTATAGCTTCCGAGTTTAATGGGTTGGATCAAATGGCATGGGTCGTAACTTCTTATCTACTCACATTGGTAATTACAAGATTTTAATATATAAAATTTTCTCTCTGTTTGAATTATATATCATGTGTGGCTCAAGTGAATCATGTACGTTATCGACACAGACTTCATTTCAACCAATCTATGGAAAATTATCTGATATTTTTGGTCGTAAAGCAACATTCTTATTTTCAATTTCTCTTTTTGAATTGGGCAGTTTATTATGTGGTATTGCCAATAACATAGTAATTATCTTTTTTTTTTGCTTTCAAATTTCTTAAAATGCATGCAACATTAACAATTTTTATATTTAGGTTTCATTGATAATATACCGTGCAATCGCTGGTATTGGAGCTGGTGGTATCTTTGGGTACGTACTTTGTTGAACCATTATGTATCAAATTTTTATACATGCTAAATTTGTGTTTTTTTTTTAATAGACTTGGTTTGGTTATTATTGCTGACATTGTCAGCGCTAAAGATCGGGGGAAATACCAAAGTATTATTTCCGTGTGTTTTGGAGTTGCTTCCGTGGCTGGACCGCTCATGGGTGGTGCTTTTACTGATCATCTTAGTTGGAGGTATGTAAAAATTTATATTACAGTGCGAAACCTGAGTCAAAAGTCTTATCGATGTAAATCATTAAACTAACACATCATAAAATTTATTTTCTAAAATAGATGGTGTTTTTTCATCAATCTTCCTCTAGGTGCAATAGCAATAATCAGTGTAATTGTTTTTCTTCACATGCAAAGGCCATCTGGTTCAGTATTCGAAAAAATTTATAGAATTGATTTCCTTGGCATAATCATAATGATTGCATCGACTATTTGTCTCTTATTACCTCTTAATTGGGGAGGTAGTACTTATGCATGGGATAGTCCTGTGGTCATAGGGCTTTTTTGTGCCGGCGCAGTTGGATACATAATATTTGGTCTTGTTGAAAGTTACGTCGTTAATGAGCCTGTTGCTCCACGTGAGTACTTATAGCTATTTATCGTTATTCAGTATTTGTCAAGTTGAGACTGGAATCGAGTCAACTCGTAGCTCAAAAAACATAGTCTTAACTCATATTAACTCGAGTCAAGACCATGTTAATTAAGCTACGAGTTGGCTCGAATCCATTAGCTTAAAAAACATAGTCTTAACTCGAATTAACTCGAGTCAAGACTATGTTTTTTAAACTATGAATTGACACAAGTCCTGTCTCTATTGTCAAGTGTTATTATTTAATAACTAATTTATTATAATTTATTTTTTTTAGCACATTTATTTAAAATTCTTAATGTAACTGCATGTTTCTTCACATACTTTTTCCAAGGAATGGCGTTCTATAGTTTGGTTTTCTATATTCCTCTTTATTTTCAAGTTGTAAAAGAAGAATCAGGCAAGTCTCTTTATAAGTCAAAACCCATATTCCTTTACTAAATATAAAATAAAATTTAACATTTTAAATGTTTCTTTTTAAATAGCCACACAAGCCGGATTAGATTACATGCCATTTGTTATTAGTATCACAGTATTCTCGTACCTAGCTGGTCTATTTTTCTCTCGAACAGATAAAGTGTCGTATCGATGTGTAACTTTAGTTGCTGCAACATTAATAATAATCGGTGCTGGTTTAACCACTATGTGGAATGAAAACACCGGATATGGTGAATTTATAGGGTATATGTTAATTAGTGGTGCTGGGATTGGTACAAGTATCCAATCTATTACATTATGCGCTCAAGAATTGGTTGAGCGCAAGGATATAGCCTCCGCTACTACTTTAGTATTATTCTTTAGAAGTAGTAAGTATTCATATATATATTTATTTATTTTCTGCAAAATATTATTTTACTAATTCATTATCTATATTTTTATTTTTAGTTGGAGCTGTCTTTGGAACTGCAATAACCGGAACAGTATTTAATAATAAGCTTTCACAATCATTAAGTACATTAAATTTGCCTCCAACTTTTTCCACAAATTCTGTATATACTATAAGATTATTACCACCTGAAATACAGCCTTCAGTTATTCACGCTTATGTATTAGCATTTCAGTTAATTTTTTATTTTACAATACTTTATAGTGTATTAATGTTTATTTCAGCTTTATTTATGGGAAATATTAAACCTAAGTTTAGAGAAAGAGATGAAAAAAATGTTATATTTGAATAATTTAAAGAAAAAAAATCGCATAGATTGATCTATAGTATAGATGGCAATATAGAATTATTATAAGATTATAATATATAAAAATAACTATTTGAACTAATTTAAGCAAATTTATAAATAGTTGGGTTAGGGTTAGAGTTTTTATATATTATAATCTTATAATATTTCTATATATTGCCACCTATACTATAGAAGAACTTTTCTTAAACGGTATAATTTAGAATTAATAAAAAATTTTTACAGCGCATTTGAGATTTTTAAAAACTAAATTAATATACACAAATTTGAATTCTCGATGAAATTAACTATTTTTCATTGCCCGCTAAGACATATCCACATCTTCTTGAGACAATGAATTGTTTTTCGACAGGTGCATATTTTGGAGCTGCAGTTCGTTTGGCAACTACAAGAATCTGGAAAAGGTTTCTGACTTGAACCAGTATTACGATCAGATTTGCACAGCTATTTTTTATTAAAAATTTTATATAATTAATAAATAATAAAATTTATTCAAATTGAAATTTTTTTTCCATTTAAAAAATGGGTGTTCTTTAATATTATAAGGTTGAATATCGAGTTTCATTGAAGGTTTGGTTTTTTTTTTGAATATCTAGGCATTTGTAACAATTTCTATCCAAAGGTTTGTTTCTATTGATTAATTAAAGTTTCTAATATTCTATTAAAGGTAAGTTAAAGAATCCATGATAATAGGTGCATATGAAGAAAGGGAAAAACGAATATACAACAACAAAAAAAGCACTTGAATTTAATAATTGACAGAGTTGAGAATGACACATAGCAAACATTTATTAATCGGTAAATCCATACCGATTCTAAAGTGACATAAGTTACTCTTGGGTTCGTAAATGACACATGTCAATTTCGAATTGACATGAATCAATAAACAAATGACAATCAAAAATTTACGTCGGAATTAACTCAAATTTTAATAATGAAAACACATCTACCAGTACGTGAAAAATATTTCTGGGCCAATTTAGTCAAATCGTAGTCCTATTTCTCAAAAACTTCTATTTCCAAAATTATGGGCAATGTGGGCCAAAATTTGTCGATCACAGTCGTTTGCCAATCAAAATCGAGAATCTTCTGTGACAAAATATATTCTATCAATATTTACTAGTTAAAAGATATGTATATTTTGCAGCACGAAGCTTACACACATTCTTCTAATCCTTATTATTTTGAACCCTTTTTCACAGTCTTAAACCTGGATCTAACGTAATCCGTGGTTTTAAACTCGATGATAGCCGGTAATGATGCCTGACGAATGACGAAAATGAAACTCATGATGAATGGCGAAATGAATCATAAAATTTATATGCATTTGAACGTAATAAATATAAAAAAAAAATTAAAATTTCAAGCAGTTTCTATTTTTTTTTTTTTAATATATAGACCCGACATGACGAGTTTACTAATTTCTCCATCACTTCTGATTGGTTCTACTAATTATTCGCATATCAGAGTATCTGTGCTATTAATCAATTTTGTGGTGGTGAAAATTAGTAAACCCGACATTACTTGATGATTTGCATTAATTACTTGGATATATTCGATAGGCTGTTTAAAGAAAAAGCTACATAATAAAAAATTACCGACTTCAGATTAATGTATTGTATAGCTAAAATCAATTTTTCAAGAGCTTGTCCATTTTTATAAAGTTAAATTTTTATAACAAACTAACGACTTAATATAAAAAAAAAAAATTATTATTTTCATATGTAATGATGAATCTTTATGATGGTGAAATAAAACAAATTTGAAAAATTTAAGATTCAGAATAATCAGAACTCATTATTAAAAAGCTCGTTAAAAGAGAGTCGACTCTATTTTATATTTTATTAATCCTCAATCGTCAAGTTTTCGTCAGATCATTGTAAAAATAGTTTTTTCATGCATCATTCATAACTAAATCATAACATATGGTTCAAAACCCTTTGTACAGTACTGTCATTTCCCATTAATGATCATTAACAAACCATAAAAATTATTGTTATCGATATTGATTAAAATTTTTAATACTGATGTTATTTACATTCTAGAATATCACAAGTTTACATAGCGGAGTAATTTCATATATGGAATAAACAATTGTACTTATGTACTTTTATGCGTAACTGTACCTTTTTTGTATACCGAAACAGTTGATGTTATCAATAGTGATAACATAATTGAAACTTTTCGTGTAAGTCGAACCATTTGTCACGTCGGTTTCTTCTTATATGTTTTATTCTTTCTTATGACTTTTGAACAAGTAAAGGAGGTTGATAAGTGGATATTCATTTTTCTGAGAACGAGATAATACTATTCTACTTTGGAAAATGAATATTATACCTTTATTCTCTAATATCTTTTTAATTCGCTATAGCATTTTAATCATAAAAGATAACGCGTACTGTTCACGTACTGTATTTGGTAAATTTAGTATATCAATTACATAAGTACTTAAGTTCGTACGTTTACTGTTTAGTCACAAAGTAGTACTTGGTTGATTGGAACTAGGGATGGTAAAAAAAAAAAAATAGTTTAAAATGTTTTTTTTTGTATTTTTAACTGAAACACAAAACCGTTTTAAAACATTGACAGATTAATTTCTGTACCGAAAAAATTCCATAATATCGAGGAAACATTCATACGAAAAAAAAATTCTTTTATTAGATTATCATATTTAATAAAAGTATTTATAAAGATCTTAAAAATGCATTGCATTTAAGATGCAAAACTGTTAATTTTCAAATTTAATAGCGCTGAATAAATTAATTTTATAATCATATTAAATTGCTTGCGTCATAATTTACGATAACAATGATTATATCAAATGTTTTAAAATGTATTTAAACCTATTTTAAACCAAACAACCATGTTTTTTAAGATCATATATATTTAGATATAAAAATAATTGAGAATTTTCAAATTTGATTACAAAGTTAACTAAAATTTTCCTTTGAAATGGTTTTATCGTCCTTTAAGCATTTTGCTAAATTCAAAATTTAAAATCCACTTGATAAACCCTATATTTGAAATACATCGATATAAGTTGCTAATAAAAAAAAAAAAAAATTCTTTTTACTGATACTTAAATATAACCTCATATATTATTCTGGATCTTGTTCTAATCCGTTTAATATTTCTTGTACATTGATAAGTTTACTAACACGCATATTGTTTGGATGCTTTGGTGATTCAATGATGGGTTTAATTTCATCGGCTTCTAAAAATTGCTTTCTTATTTTGTTTTCATTATAAAAGTTTCCCATCTCTTCAATCCATGTAGTAACCAGAGCATTAACATATCGGATAGTAGGTCGTTTTCTCGGGTCTAAATCCATACATCGCTTGGCTAATTCAATATAACAATCAGGAGTACCAGATGTAAATTCCGGTTGTAATCCACGACAAACTTTTACCGCAAATTTGGTATTAGAATCATAACCATCGAAAGCCATTCTTCCTGTTGATATTTCCGCCATAATGATACCCAAAGAATAAATATCTGCTGCT